AAAAAAAAAAAAAAAAAAACAAAAAAAAAAATAAAATAAATAAATACATCATTAAAATATGTATATACACCTTTAAAAAAAAACATTTGAACAGAGCCAGATGTGGCGGCACCAGCCACCACAACTATTCAGAAGGTTGAGGTGTGAGAATCACTTAAGCCACAAGTTAAAGACCACTTGAGGCAGTGAGACCACCATCACACACACACACACACACACACACACACACACACACACACACAAAACAAACTTGGGCACAAAGTACTTGTGATTAGGTTTTCTGAAGAGCCACCATGTGGATAAAGCACTAAACATATTCTAGGCCAAGTTTTCAAAGGAGAATGCAGTATACAGCCTTCTAAAAATTAGCACCATCACAAGGAAATGACCTGCCACGTGAGGTAGTGAACTCCAGTCAGTTTTCAGCAATGACCGATCACCTGGCAGGAGTGATTTTTCACAGGACATGGAAACAGACAGCAGGGGAGGTTCTGCCCTCTACAAACGCGGTTCTCCTGACTGACTGTGACCTGTACACATGAGCTAAGAAGGCAGCTCTGAGAGGCTGGGGAAAGACACCCACAGTATTTTAAGATGGGTTAGCTTGGAAAACTTTAATCAAATGGTGTCACCTCTCCTGGGAACTGTTCTAGACATGCTGTAAGGCAGCCAGTGTGGTGGAATACACTGGAGTTCGGGACGCGGAGCCAGGCGGGGACCAGGGCTTTAGCTCTTCCCGCTCTGTATGACCTCTGAACCCCTGCATAAGTGACCTTCCACAGTCTTCGTCAAGCTAAAGGGCACTCCTCCTCTGACCAGGCCCTGCTAGAACAGGTCTAGGGCTGCCGTTGGGGATGTGCGGGCTGCTGCACTTGTGGACAGCGAGAGACCACCTCTGCCGGAAGCACCGGCCACACTCGAGGCAGGGGAACGGCTTCTCCCCGGTGTGCAGAAGCTGGTGCTGAGCCAGATGGCTCCACTGGGCAAAGCGTTTGGAGCACAGGTCACAGGCATAGGGCCGCTCGCCCGAGTGCACGCGCCGGTGGCTGGCCAGCAGCGAGGGGTAGGCAAAGCGGCGGCCACAGTCCTCGCAAGCATGCAGCTTCTCCTCCGTGTGGGTGCTGCGGTGGATGGCCAGGGAGCCACTCCTCCGGAAGGCACGGCCGCAGTCCGGGCACGGGTAGGGTTTCTCGCCTGTGTGCAAGAGCTGGTGCTGGAGCAGGGTGCTGCGCTGGGAGAAGCGGGCCTCACAGTGCTCACAGGCGTAGGGCCGCTCCCCAGAGTGCACGCGCCGGTGGCTGACCAGGCGGGAGGAGGAGGAGAACCGGCGCTCGCAGTCAGGACAGGGGTAAGGCTTCTCCCCTGTGTGGATGCGCTGGTGGATGACCAGGGCAGTGCGCTGGCGGAAGCGGCGGCCGCACTCGAGGCAGGTGTAGGGCTTCTCTCCCGTGTGTGTCCGCTGGTGGATAGCGAGCAGGGATGGGTAGGCGAAGCGACGCCCACAGCTAGGGCACTGATGAGGTTTCTCACCCGTATGTGTGGTCCGGTGATTGGCCAGGGACCGGCTCCGTCGAAAGCAGCGGCCACAGTCAGGGCAGTGGTAGGGCTTCTCGCCCGTGTGTATGACCTGGTGCTGGGACAGGTTCTTCCGCTGGGAAAAACGTTTGCCACACTGGTCACAAACGTAAGGGCACTCGCCAGAGTGGGCCCGCCGGTGACTGACCAACAGGGACGGGTAGGAAAAGCGGCGCCCACAGTCCGGGCAAGGGTAGGGCTTCTTCAGATTCTGGGCACATTTGTGGCTCTCCAGGGCAGGGTGGTCAGGGAAGGTACAGCCACAGTCGGGGCAGATAGGGCCTCCGGATGTCTGCCTGGGAACCAAGCGCGGTTTGCTGGGCTTCCGCCCTCGCTTCCCCTTTCGGGGGGCCTCCTTAGGTGGGAACACTTCCTTCTCTTCATTCTTCTGTCTGGTTCGGGTTTCTACCGGGAAACAGAGAAATTAAACACTGGGTTCCTATGCTTGCCTAGTAACGTTAAAGGTTCCAAGAGCAGCAATACGCTCAGATCCTGCCAGCTGTTGGTGTCAGAGAGCCAAGCGGGGCCTGCAAATGTGGAAGTCATGTAGAGCTCCTCATCCACCTCATGTAAGATGGGGGCAGGGTGCAGGTTTAAGCTGATTTTTTTTAAAGATTTATTTATTATGTATACAGAAGAGGGCACCAGATCTCATTGCAGATGGCTGTGAGCCACCATGTGGGTGCTGGGAATTGAACTCAGGACCTCTGGAAGAGCAGTCAGTGCTCTTAACCTCTGAGCCATCTCTCCAGCCCCCTAAGCTGATTTGTAAACAGTGTCTGAGGGCTGAGGGTTGGCTTGGTTGGCAGAGTGCTTGCCTGGAATTCATGAAGCCCTGGGCTGCATCCTGCACCACATGAAGTGGTTCATCCTTGGCTACAGAGCTTTACTAAGATGCACGACCCTGTCCTTAAAAACAACCAAACACAAAACCTTGCACGTTTTTATGGAAGGGGGGCAGCTCTATGGGGTACACAGAAACCTTTGTCCCTACAACCGTGTAGAAACTGTTACTTTCTTCCAGTATTTGGGGGTTTATTTGTTTAGATAGGGTCTCATGTACTCTAGGCTGGCCTCCAACTCACTACGTAAGGGGGGGAGGATGACCTTGAACGTCTCATCCTCCCAGCTTCCAAGCGCTAACATCAGAGCAGGTATCACACCTCATTTATGCAGTGCTAGGGATCAAACCTGAGCGTGCGCATGGGAGGCGGCATTCTACCCAGGGGGCGGCACTCTAAGGTAGCCTTACAGGGTTTACGGTGCAGTACAAATACATACGGTCTCCCCACACCTTCCCTACGTAAAAGGGGACACACAACATAGAACTTTATGCACACTTTACTGCACTGTCCTTTTTCCCACTTAGTGTTTATTCTAAGGATCTCTTCATGAAAGGTGGTGACAGGTCTCCTGGAACTGGACTTACAGACAGTTGTAAGCTGGGATCTGACTTCAGGGCTTCTGGAAAAGCAGGAAGTGCTCCTAACTACTGAGCCATCTCTCCAGCCCAGAATTTGCTTTTTTTTTTTTTTTGTTTTTCGAGACAGGGTTTCTCTGTGTAGTTTTGGTGCCTGTCCTGGAACTTACTTTGTAAACCAGGCTGGCCTTGAACTCACAGAGATCCTCTTGCCTCTGCCTCCCAAGTGCTAGGATTAAAGGCGTGCGCCACCACCTCTCCGCCTCAGAATTTGCATTTTTAAAGGATTCCTGTATTTGTTTTATGTCAACTTGACACAAGCTGGAGTCATTTGGGAAGAGGGGACCTCAATTGAGAAAATGCCTTAACCAAGTTGGCCTGTGGTGCATGTTTGTTAATTAGTGATTGATGTTGGAAGTGCCCAGCCCATTTTTGGTGCCATCCCTGAACAGGTGGCCTTGGGGTATATAAGAAGGCAGTCTTAGCAAGCCACGAGAGAAAGAAGCCAATAAGCAGTCCTCCTCCATGGCCTTCGCTCCAGTTCTTGCCCTTGGCTCCCTTTGATGATGTCCTGTAATGTGAAAGCATGAGGGAATAAACTCTTCCATGGCCTGCCTGGTTTTGGTCACCGTGTGTATCACAGCAATAGAAACCCTAACTAAGACAGAGTGGCTCCGGGAGGGGCATTGCTGTGACACACCTAACCACATGTTCTGAGGAGGAGTGTGCTGGCAACTTTGAGCAGGAAAGCTGAGTGCTCAGGGTGCAGTGGGCTATTCCGTGGAGCTTAGGAGATAACGCGAGAACAGTGCAAACGATGGAGGCCCGGCGTGTAAAGTTCCGGGGAGTCTGAGACTCCTTAAAGACTACCAAGACCATTTATGTGAGGATGTATGTATGTATATATGTATGTATGTATGTATGTATGTATTTTTTTGGATTTTCGAGACAGGGTTTCTGTTATTCTGGCTGTCCTGGAACTCACTCTGTAGACCAGACTGCCTCTGCCTCCTAAGTGCTGGGATTAAAGGGCTGCACCACCACCACCCAGTTACATTTTTAATTAAGAAGCACTAAAGAGAAACCTTTGCTTAGCTAGGACAATTAATGCTGGTCAGCTAGGTCTGAGAAATCAGCATGATTAAAAAAAATACCAGTATCACCAAGGATCATAAATCTGGGAGTATTTCCTAAAGGTCAGCACACAGAGCTGTGGTCCATTATGGGGCCAAGGCTGCATCTCACACTGGCAGCTGAACTTGGTTATGTGTAAGTTCCCTAGGTCATATTACTTCTGGAGGCGTAAAGGGTCATGGAGAATAACGATCTCTTGGCACTGTGACAGGCAAGCAGAGACCACTGGGGAATGTGCAGCTTCAGCTGAGGTAGAAACCTCATGACTGAAGGGGTCAGGGAGGGACACTGAAGCTTGGCAGGATGTGGCAGGGTCAGTATCTCTAAAGGGGGCCCAAAATAGGAGATGGGTGAAGGTGTAGCCCCAGCGTTTTGCAGATACCTTTACCACAGCGGACCAAGCACCACCACCAGCAGCGGCGGCTGTGGAGCCGGCTTGAGCTTACTTAGTTAAGCTGCACGTCCAGTGGATGACAGTCACAGAAGTGCCACTGCCAAGCCCCCCGGACCCCAAAGATAGGGAATCTCACAAGTCTGACCTTGAGAGGTTCATACTGGCGGGCTTTCATTTTGCTTTGATTTTATTTGATTGATTTATTCTATTTGGAATAAGAAAGTATGCAACTTATTGTTCTTATTATTACTTTTACAGGAATTGATCTAAAATCAAATACCTGTATTTGATTTTAGAGAGATTTTGGATATTCTAGAGAAACTTTTTGGAAGAGAATTTGGACATTGTAAGGGGACCCAACTTTTGGAGTGTCTGAATGGAGACGTTGGGATGAACAAGAAAGGGAAGGTTGTGGTTAACAGGATGTGTCTGTGTGTCAAGCTCACAAGGGGTCAGTTGTGCTGGATGGTTTTATGTCAACTTGACACAGCTAGACTCGTGTAGGGAGAACTCAACGGAGAAAATCCCCTCACCGGACTGCTCTCTGGGCAAGCATGCATTTCCTTAATTAGTGACTGATGGGGAAGGGCCCAGCCCACTGTGGGTGGTGCCATCCCTAGGCAAGTGTTTTTGGATATATAAGAAAACAGGGGAGGAGCCAGTCAGCAGCCTTCCTCATGGCTTCTGCTTCAGTTCCTGCCCTGACTTTCTTTGATGATGGGCTGTAATATGAAAATGTAAATTAAATAAACCCCTTCCTCCCCAGGCTGCTTTTGGTCATGTTGTTTATCACAGCACAGAAACTTCTGACTTCAGACAACTCCCAAATATGCAGCCGCTGGTCTAGGAGCACTTTGGGATCCACGGCTGTAACCAACGTTAAAGACCTTGAGTGTATTTCATCCGGTAGTTCACAGCCTAGGCGCACACTCAAATCAATGGGCCTTTTCTTTTCCTTTTTAAATTCAAGAGTGAACCAGGGATTCGAGAGCTGGCTCAGTGGTTGAGGGCTCTTCCTACTCGTCCAGAGGATCCGAGTTCGGTGCAATGGACGCTAGGTCCCAGACCCTGGGACGCTGGATCTTTTTCAAAGCTCAGTGCCTCATTCATGTCAATGGAGTACTGCAAGGGAGTTAGTTTGCTAACTACAGGACACGCAACTCGGTCACCCCTAACCAGACCAAAATTCTAGCTTGGGTCGACAGAGTTTAGGGAGTCAACCACGAGGGCTGCGGGGTCTCCGTGGGCATTTTTCACTCACTTCTCTGGAAGGTCGCCCATCTCCGGTACTCCTGCGGATCTAGGGCTGCCGGTTCCCAGTCATCGGTATTTCTTTCCAGCCAGGAGATGAGAGCTGGTGTGGGACCTGCACATCCTGGGGAAGGAGAACCAGTCAGGGCTGGCCTCGGGAAAGGATGCTAAAAAAAAAAACATATGACGAGGCTCTGCCCCCACCCCTAACCAGCCGGGGGCAGGTCAGGACCCTGGGTCCCTGCCCCGACGCCACCCCGCCCTCAAGCTCCACCATCCCTTCGGGCCCGCGTCAGCCGACGGGGCCGGGGCCTCACCGAGCGCGCCCAGGAGGCCGTAGGTCTCGCGCATCACCTCCCGGTACAGCAGCCTCTGCGCGGGCCGCAGGCAGCCCCACTCCTCGGGGGAGAAGTACACGGCCACGTCCGCGAACTTCAAGGCCCTTGGCCTCCTGCCCCTCCTCCTCCGGGGAGGTCCGGCCTCTCCGGGCGCCCGCGCGGGGAGCGGAGCCGAGGGTGGCGCCATCGGACCTAGGAGCCCGGCCGGGAAGGCCCGGAGGAAAGCGGCCCGCCGCAGACCACACCGCTATTCAGGAAACCCGCGCTGGAACCTGGGTGCGAGGCACCGGAAGATGCCTTCGGGGAAGATGGCGGCGCCGCTCCTGCGCCGCCGCTGCCTGGAACACAGGCGGCCTCCAGCTATCGATTTTATTGACCCGAGCGCCATGTCGGCTTCTTAACCTCCCTGCCCTCAAGTGTGATGGCGCGGCGAGATGGCTTCATGCCTACTTTTTTCCCCCTTGCCTATTGCACTCGTTCATTGGTCGGTAGCTGAAGATCGGACGTCCTGATTGGGTGGTGGCAAAGGCGGTGCGTTTGAATGAAGCCAACGGATTCTTAAGGGCAAGGAGGTGGAGGGAGCGTCCCTAAACAGGTCTTCAGAAGTGTGGGGAGTGGGAGGCTCCCCTCGATGTTCTCTAGTGTCTGTTTGCCCTACCTGGAGAAGACGCTTCTACATGTCTCCCTAGGGAAGGTCACACAACGTCAACAGGGATCTGTTGAACAGCTGCTTTCTATGACCATAAAGTAGTCACAGCCTGGAATTGTGAGAAGTCCCAGGAAAGAAGGGAGCAGTGATAACGATTTGAGGCACAAATGGCACTTCTGGTAAAACTGAATGATTGTAAGGGTAAATTGACTAACCTTGTCCCCGGGGCAGCTCCCAAGTAGTCTATAGAAATGAATGACCCACCTTCCAATGCTTTAGGAAGTTTGACTTTTGTTTGGAGGCGAAACTAATAGCTTTGTGCTTACTCTTGCTTTCCACATTTTTTTAAATTATTTTTCCGGAGCTGAGGACCGACCGAACCCAGGGCCTTTGGCAAGCGCTCTACCACTGAACTAAATCCCCAAACCTGGAATGCACATTTAATTGCTAGGGGGAACAAAAACAAATGGCTAGCTAGTCATTTCACTTGTAAGGAAGCAGGAAGTCACATCTCCGCCGTTGCCTTCCTAAATAGTGCAGTTGTGCCATCAGCATGTTCCAGGATAGCATGGACAACACAGTGAGAACCTGTTTTTGAAGGAAGGGTATGTAGCCCAGTGGTAGGGCATTTGCCTAGCATGCATGAGGCTCAAAGTTCTATAAAAATATTTTTAGGGGGCTGGAGAGATGGCCCAGAGGTTAAGAGCACCGACTGCTCTTCCAGAGGTCCTGAGTTCAATTCCCAACAACCACATGGTGGCTCACAACCATCTGTAATGAAATCTGGCACCCTCTTGCGTGTACATAATAAATAAATAAATCTTAAAAAATATATATGTATTTTTAAAAATGGATAACCAGGACTGGGTGTGAAACCAAACCCTTGTATAAATATTAGGACAAACTGTAAGGAAGATTGCCCACTGTAGAGACGTGTGGAGGAGATCCACACGTTAAGAGGCCACACAAAGATGTCTGTGCTTTTGCTGTTGAGAGCCAACTTAAGACCTGGAATTCTAGAGTAGATGTTGTCTGAAACTTACTGTCTAGAGTCCTTATGTGGATAATTATCACAAGGCCACAGATTAAAGACCTGAATTTAATTACCTGTACTGCCCACTCCCCAAACAAAACAACAAAAATCCTAAGACAGCTGGGTGTGGTGGCACATGCCTTTAATTCCCAGCACTTGGGAGGCTAAAGCTGGCAGATGTGAGTTTGAGGACACCCTGGTCTACATAGTGAGTTCCTGGCCAGCGAGGGCTACCTCAACAAGCAAACAAACAAACAAAAACAAAACCCCCACAAATCTTGATCATCTTGCTCAAAATCTGTTATGCAATGAAGGAATGAAATCTGAACCTGGGATGTCTTCTCTGTGGCACGAACAACTCTACATTGGGCCAAAAGCCTTAGGACAAATTTCTCCAGAACTGGAGAGATGGCTCAGTGGTTAAGAGCCCTTGTTCTTGCAGAGGACCCAAGCTCTGTTTCTGGTACACTCATGGTAGCTAACAACCATCTTTAACTCCAAGAAATCTGACATCGTGTCCTCCACCAGCAGCAGGCACACCTGTGGTACACAGTCAGGCAAAGCACCCCTATTCATAAAATAAATATTTTTACAAAGATTTCCTCCATGGTTCATGCTCAGTGAGTGTCAGTGCCTAGAAATGCAGCCTTAAATGTTAGCACACTCTCATTTTAGACTGCCTGGACCCAGACCTTTGCCTGAGGGATCACCTCACCATAAACCCAGACTAGGACAAGCAATATCTGTCCTAGGAAGAAGTAGAAAAACTACTTATTAATGAAAGCAATGATTGCCTTTTCTTCTTTTCCAGACAGGGCCTCATGCTGTCCAGGCTGGCCTCACATTCACCATGTAGCTGAGGATGACCAAGAACTTCTGATCCTTCTATGTCTTAACTCCTGAGTGCTATAATTAAAAGTATGCATAGCACACCCAGTTTTATTTGGTGCTAGGGATGGAACCTAGGGCCTTAGGTCTCTCCAGACAAGACTTACATATACCTTTCTCTGCCCTGCCTTCACTTCTTTCCTAGTGCTGGGATGAAAGGCGTGTGACTCCCAAGTATTGAGATTAAAGGTGTGTGCCACCACTGCCTGGCTCTCATGTAGTCAATCTCATGTAGTCCAGGGTAGCTTTGAACTCACAGAGATCCACCTGAGTGCTAGGATTAAAGGTATGCACCACTGGGCTGGAGAAATGGCTTAGTGGTTAAGGGCACTGACTGCTCTCCCAGAGGTCCTGAGTTCAAGTCCCAGCAACCACATGGTGGCTCACAACCATCTGTAATGAAAACTGGCGCCCTCTTCTGGCATGCAGGCAGAACACTGTATTCAAAATAAATAATTTTTGTGTGTGTGTGTGTGTGTGGCTTTTTCAAGACAGGGTTTCTCTGTGTACTTTGGCACCTTTCCTGGAACTCACTCTGTAGATCAGGCTGGCCTTGAAGTCACAGAGATCTGCCTGCCTCTGCCTCCCGAGTGTGGGATTAAAGGTGTGCACCACCACCTCCTGGCCATAATAAATAAATCTTTAAAAAAAAATGGTGTGTGCCACCACTGCTTGGCTTCTATGTTTAATCTAGTGGCTTTTTCTATCCTCTGATCTTCAAGCAAAATTCATTAGGGTATACAATATATCACATTTCCCCTTTTATGTCTAAAATAATATAAGGTTATAACTAATATAAGAAAAAGTATGTACAATAAGTATATATAATATATATAGTCAAGAATTACATTAAGAATGTCCAGGCCATAATTTTTTTTATTTTTTTACTTTTTTCAAGACAGGGTTTCTCTATGTAGCTTTGCGCCTTTCCTGAAACTCACTTGGTAGCCCAGGTTGGCCTCAAACTCACAGAGATCCGCCTGGCTCTGCCTCCCGAGTGCTGGGATTAAAGGTGTGCGCCACCATTGCCCGGCATAAATATTTGACAAAAATCCAACCCAATGTAAAATATTTAAAACTAGTAGTTGCTCTTTAAAAGAAGATTCAATAATCTACCTTTTTATCTTATCATATCCATAACCTCCCTTTTTTCAGAGTAAATTCAATAATCTACCCTTTATCCTATCATTTTTATATCTTTTTTAGAGTATATTCAATAATCTACCTTTTATATCTATATCCTCTTTTTTTCAGAGTAGATTCATAATCTACCATATTATCCTATCATTTCTATATAATATGTTTCTATATCATATCGCCCTTCTTTTAGAAAGAGATTGGCGAATTTTTAACCAACTCCTAAACAAAGACAAACATCCATAATCCATTTTTTGGGAATGTGGGTGTGGATTTTAGGCTATTTCCTGCTGATTGGGGGCACTGGTAGTCTTATGAGGATACAAAGAAAATTTAGAATTATGGACAAGTCCTGACTGGAGTAGTCTGTGAGGCTGTATCTTCTCAGTTGGCCATCTCGATATTGTCCTGATCAGTTTGTAGTCCATAGCCGATCTTGGGGTGGTGTTTGTCAGCTTAATGGCATTATCATTGTCCTGCTGGAATTGTTGTTGTGGGGTCCCATCATCTTTAAATTTTATTGTTTTCCAATTTACACCTTTTAGCAAGTTAATTTCCATATCCCCAAACCTCTTATCTAAGTTCCCCAAAGATACAATGTCAAATGTCAATTCTCAGTCAAGAATTACCCGTGATGTTCTGGGTTCTTCCTCAACCAAGTTTTGCATAGGCTTCGCACCTTCAGAAAGCTCTCAGACAAGATTTTTGTATATTGTATACGAATTTTGTATATTGATACAAATTTGAGATTATTTTTGTTAGAACATACTGTATACAATTTGCTAATCTTGTTCAAGGTATTGTACCTATACAACTCATTTAACAATGTAATGCAAATTGCTAGTCATTGAAAGTTATTATCAACTAATTAGAATATAAAGAAATGCAAGTTAGTAGTTAGTAGTTAGTTACCTATTACAATGAACTTGTAATACTACGTATGTTTTCAAGGTCAAACATATATTTTAAATAAACAGGTCATCTATAAACACTTCAGAGATCTACAGAATATGGCATTTAAGATGTTTTAATAACATAAAGCATAGGAGACATGTCTGCTCCTAGCAAAGAAGATGATG